ACCAGATGGTTCCTGTATCTTGAACGTATATCTTAGTTAATTCACCTCAGTTTAGTGAAGCCCATATAAGCATATGTATTTTTCTAGTATTTCAGAAGGTAAAATGCTAACAGTAAGAAGAAAATAGAGGTCTTTTTTAGCAGTCATTCATTCAGTCTCTGATTCACCACTTTCATTAACTATCTAAACTCTCTGTACCATACAAGGCTGCTAAGGTAAACAGACATGCTCACTGAAAAATAGTAGGAAAGATGGTTAAAAAAAAAAAATCACCTAACTAAAATACAAGGAAGAATAAAATGCACACTAGAAAGGGAATTACATGAAGGTCTGATTAATGCTCTCTGAAGGAGTAAAAAGATGTTAGGATTTCAAAAGAAAAGAAAGAGCATTTAAAGTTGGTGAAAATATGAGTAAAAGCAAAATAGCAAAAAATAAGTAGTCAACTCTCAGTAAGTGTGAATGAGCAAGTGGAGAGCATACACACACACACCCCCCCTCCCCCGAAAAAAAACCCTGAATTTACATGTAAAAGCATGCAAAATCTCACTTAAAACTGTAATCAATTCATGATTGTGTATTAGTCTTGATTGTGCTTCCTAGGCTAAAGGAGAGAAGCTTATCCTGGAGTACACCTTCACAACGGACGGGTGGAACAGGCAGTTCTCCAAGCCTTTTTCTCTCCCTTTCAACCAGAGAAGATCAAGGCAGCTTGGTCTAGGAGATCAGAATAGTGAATGCTAACTATAAATTTGGTTTGAAAGGTGAACTTTTCCAAAGTCCCCGTTATGCCTGAAACAATTAAACCAACATGAATTAATTCACTACCAGATAATTGAGCACTGGCCATATATGGACCGATACAGTGAGAGAGAAAATTGGAAAGACAGGTACAGGGTTTTGAGAATGCCATGGCAAGAGGTTTGGATTTATTGTAGCAATTATGTTGATTTTATAATTTTTAAATAATTTTTTTTTCCCTGAGATGGCGTCTCACTCTGTCTCTTAAGCTGGAGTGTTCTCGAGAGCATGATCACAGCCCACTGCAGCCAATAAACTCATCTTTAAAAGTTGCAAAACTATCAGTGCATCTTAAAGAATGTTTATTACTCTTAAATAATTATGTAAGATATATACTCATTAGCTAAGACTAAAGATGGATTGTAACACTCTCACTATAAATTCCTTACTGTAAAATATTTCAAAATATTTACATTTGGAAGGAAGTGAAATCCACACAGTATTTCTCACATCATCAAATTTTTCCCTTCTATTTATATTTTTTGGCAAAAAATCGTCCATATAGAGAATTGCAGTGCTACTTTTCCTGCTTTGGAGATAGCACTATTTTTTGACTAGGTCAATAAGTCATAAGAACTAGTACTTCTAATCAATCACATCTATCTGAGCAACCATTCTTAGATGTCAACATTTTTTTTTTCTCTAAAAGAAGGAGCAATTATTTTTATCATCAAAGACTCTTAGGCTTTCTAGCATAGTTTATTTCTCTCTTGTAATTAATTCAGTGATCACCCTCTGGCGGTAAAGAATGCAAAATGGAAAAACAAACTTAAACATCTTAGTTAAAATGGCTTATTAAAGAAATACATGAATCAGATTATAAAAAATTTAAAAGAATTTAATTTCAAGATAGTTAGCTATCCTATGTTATAACAACCAAAGTACATAATATGTTATTATAGGAATTTAGAAAGAGTAAATTCAGCAGAAACCTTAAATTCACTAGTCCTGAAAACAAAAAGAAAATATCATTTGTGCAAAAGAGGGCTTTCCGTTGCTCTTTAATTGTCAGCTAGGAAGATTAAAAGACATTACTGTGCTTGTCCTAAATTTAAATGACTACAGGCTAAGAAATACACAGTAAAGACCAGGAAGACTTTATGATAAAAGACACTATAATTTTAA